AATGTGGAACTAGATAAAGGACAACACTCACAACAATTTTGGAATTAAATGGGTACCTCTTAACATGTTAACATAAAAAAAGACCCTACATACTACATACCACACACACACACACACACACACACACACACACACACACACACGGCAGTATTATAAAGAACACGATAAAAGGAAATTACAAGAAATCTCTCTTCTTTTCAATACTTTGTTTTTCAGTAAACATGAAGCTCCTTTTCTAACCAGAGGATGAAACAAAACCAATTTAAGGTTTTTTGTTTTAAGCTGGGTCTGGTTTTCACCAGTTCTTTCAGCTGAACAGAAGTTCTTAAACCAGAACACCTGTTGGAATTTTCTAGGTGTCTGAAGACATTGCCTCTATCACGCCTTCTGATTTTGCAGGTCTGGGTGGAGCCCAACAGTTTGCATTTGTAACAAGTTCCACTGGGCTGTGAGATGGCAACACGGAATGGGACACAGAGACAGCAGCACAGAACCTGCTGTGGGGTTTGAATTCAGTCTGGTTCTGCTTCTGGCCCTGCTCTTTGTGGGTTTGGGTGGCAACATTGACATACCTTAGCCCCTCTGCTTCCACACGGATAAAATGAAGTCAGGAGTATTTTCAAGGTCAAGAGGGACAAACTCAACAAGTCGTCTCACACAGCTGCAGCTTTTGAGGTCCTTTTATTTTTTTTTCTAACGTTGCTCTTCCCTTTCAATGTCTTTATCTCGTGTGTGATGTTCAGTTTTTATGTCAAATTGATACAAGCAAGAGGCATTTCAGAAAACAGAATCTCAACTGAGAAAACGTCCCCACCCATTTGGCTTGTGGTACATTTTCTTGATTGGTGATTGATGTGGCCTTATCTTACTTCAGCTCACTGTGGGTGGTGTCACCCCTGGGTAGGTGGTCTTGGATGCTGTCAGAGAGCATGCTGAGCAAGCCAGTAAGAAGCACTTTTCCATGACTTCTGTATCAGTTCCTGCCTCCAGGTTTCTTTCCTGACTTCCCTGGATGATGGACAATAAGCTGTAAGATGAAATAAACCCTTTCTTCCCTAAGCTGCTTTTGGTGTTTATCAGAGTGACAGAAAAAATAACTAAAATAGAAATTGATACCAGGATAGTGAGTGGGGTGTTGCTGTGGTAAATATGAGCATGTTTCAGGGAGGACTGAGGAAAGACTTTAAGTGTTCAGAGCTTAATGAGCTGTTGTGGGAACTCAAAAGATCAACCTGAGAGCAGTGCAGAGGACAGAGGCCTGGCATCTGAGAGCAGTGCAGAGGACAGAGGCCTGGCCTGTGAAGTTTCAGAGGGAAGTTGGAGAGTCCCTTAAAGACTCTATCCGAATTAAGAACTGCTCAAGTAAAACCTCTGCTTTGCTGGACAATCTATACTGGTCAGCTGGGGCTGCAGAATCAACTGTAAGAAGAGACAAGCATCACCAAGGAAACATCTTCTGGGAAGTGTTTCCTTAAGACCAGCACACAGAGCAGCCCAAGGCTGCATCTCATTCTGGCAGCTGAGCATGGTAGTCTTAGAGTCACCCAGGCGATATTGTTTTTGAAGGCACGAAGGGGTTCTGGAGAGCACTGGGGCTTGGAACTGTGTAGGAGAGCTGCCCCTGAAAAGAGCCTGGGAGAGGCCACTGTTGAAGGTGCAGCCTCAGGTGCATTTGAAGCCCTAGGATTGAAGGAGTCATGGAGAGAAGGTGAGGCCTGAGACAACAGAAGGTTAGAGTCCCTGAAGAGAGTCTGGAGAAACTACTGGTGAAGGAACAAGACAGTAGGCAGTGTTCCTCCATAGCCTTGCTTCATTGCCTGCCCCCAGGTTCCTGCCTGACTTCCCTCAGTAATGGAGAGTGACCTGAGAGTTGTGAGATGAAAGAAACCCTTTCCTCCCCAAGTTGCTTTTGATCACGGTGTTTTATCATAGCAATAGAAACCTAAATATGACAAAGTGCGTCATTTCATTTCCATAACAGAGTTTACATTGCCTGAGTTAGCAACACCACAGCGCAAATAATTCCCTCCAAACTTCAGAAGACAAATATGTCTACCAGCTACTTCTTGAATCTCCAGTATTCATACAAAATGGAAGATACCAGTGTAACAGAATCTACTTTGATACAGTCAACAGTATCAATTCTCCAGACACTGCAATTGTGAGGACTGAACAAGATACTGTGCTAAGTGTTTAGATAGTAGTTGACGTACAGTTGTAGAGCAAATGTCAGTTTCCTTTAAGTGGAACATATCCAGGGCCTCTCGGATCATTTCAAGTTCACTTTCCATCTTTCCACCTCAGATTATTCTTCTGTGGTAGCTAAAGGCAATTTTTAGTTCACATAAGTACTGATAAGAACCCACTCTACATAAAAGACTGTGTTGAACGTCTAAGGAGGTAAACAGAAGACAGTTTCTCGACTCTGAGACAGTTCATTGCAATGATGATGTGCTGGACAGGGACCCAAGGCATGGTGGGATGTGTTACAGAAAGTGTGTTCAATTTGCAGTCTAGAATGGCTCATTGAGATTATTTTGTTCTTGAGTACTAGCGAGCTCTGGTTTTGTGGTTAATGAGTTTCAAGATCTAAGTATTCTACGGTAAAAGCTGTGGAGAGCCACACAGATTCCTACGTATGCTCAAGGCTTGAATCCTGGTGTTGCTAGCTGCTGCCAGTGCGGTTCTCTGCTTATTATCCACATTGTGCTTCAGTTCATTCAGTTCTTCAGTTAAGATGATCTTAACACTAGCTCTGTATTTCATAGGTGGCTGTGAGGATTAAATAATATATATAAAACTAGAAAACCCAAGTTATAATTGCTATTAATATTAGTCTCTGAAAAGATGAAAAACAATAGATTTAGTCTCCTATTAGTCACTTAAGTATTTTTGCTCAGTTTGTGATCAAGCTATAATTAAAAAAAAAAAAAAGTGTTCCAGCACTTGGGAGGCAGAGGCAGGCAGTTGTCTATGAGTTTGAGGCCAGCCTGATCTATGAAGAGAGTTCCAGGCCAGCCAAATTACAAAGACTGTCTTAGTCTGTCTGTCTCTGTCTCTCTTTCACACACACACACACACACACACACGCACACACACGCACACACACACTCACTCAATCAACCAATAAATGCATAGGAATGATTGCTGCAGTTCCTTTCTGTTAAACAGTGGTTTTTCATTCAGGTTGAGTACCTAATAAATGCACATTATTCAGTAGGAGTAAGTTGCCTTACTCCTACTGGAAAACTTTGACTATTTGAAGTGAAGCTTGAGATTTGGGCAAACCTGGTCCGTACCAGGAAAGTGAAGAAAAGTAAAACCTGATAAGGCAACAGGGCTTGATGGATAGAGTAACTAACAGATTCTTTAAAAGTCGGCCAAAATTAATGGGTGCTGAGAAAGATGAGGGTCTGTAAGCCCAATAAGATTTCCCACCTATTTTAAGATACACACTAAGCTTCTTTAGACAGAAACCAAGCCTTTTAAGGAAGGTGAGGAGAACACACCCGTGGGCTGAGTTGAGAGGATGCTCAGCAGGTGCTGAGTCTCACCCTTAAGGTGGCTGCAGGACTGTGTGAACTGAGGTGGCAATGCTGGCTCTCTCCGGAAGGAAAGATGCTATCTCTCTCCGGGGAGTTATATGACTATGGCACCACATGAAACAAGAAACCGAAACAGCCGCAGCCAGCTCAGCCCGGCTCAATATTCAGATTAATCAGGAACCATCGTTTTTTATTTCCAGGGGGCATCCTTCTAGATCTTCCTCAAGTGCCTGAAGTAGAAATTCTGGGATGAACTGCAAGAGGGTGGGTACATCTTTAAGACATGTGGAGAGCTGGTGGAGGAGAAAAATAACCTATACTCAAAGAAGAGGGGAAAAAATATGTATTTCTTGGGGGAGGGGACAAGGGAGGCAGGGATTTGGCACGACATCAGTATCCTCTGTGAGGCAATCTAGGAGCAGATTATCTCAATTCCTTTCCAGATCCTCAGCATTTGACAGGTGCCAATCACACAGCCCTGTATTCTATTCCCACCCAAGCAATGCTTAGTAAACACAACATCTTCTAGTGAAAGATTCTGGAAGAGAAAGCAGTAGGTATCTCTAAAGTTCCCGCGTGAATGTCTGGTTAGGACCAGGCAAATCTGGGTCGGCTGAGAGCTATGGATTGGGGTGGAGCCCAAGGATGGACTGTACCCTGGTCCCTAGATGCTCCGTGTACTGGGTCTCCCGCAGTTCCTTCTTCGACTCTGGGGCTTCTCAGGAGTTCTCATCGTGGTCGGGGGCCGGAAGACACCAGTTTTGCTTTCTTCAGCACCAAGATTCCGCTCGGCTCGGGGAACTCCCAATCCTAGCTGGGGCGAGGCAATTAAGCCGCGTCCTTCAGGTGTCAGTCCGGACTCATGTCAAACCACAATTCCCATAGTGCCTGGGTCCATGAGGCCAGACCATAAATAAAATGGCTCCAGAGATCGGGACGTGCAGCTGGAAAACTAATCTCTGGCGACTTTACTGGATGTGTTTAAATACCCGAAGCCTCACTTCTGCACCACCCCACTATCACCTCCAGGCCCCGGAGACGCCGTCCGAAGCTGCGCTCGCTCCTGGAGCATCTTGGGAATTGTAGTCCAGATGCCAGGTTACACTGAACTACTCTTCCCAGGGTGCTCAGCGGCAGGACTACGGCAACGTTCTCTTCCAAGTGTCTCTGTTCCGAGTGCCCCTTTTCTAGTCCCCTTCTTGCCGTCGATTTCTTTCGCTCTGTACCTACAGCTAGTGCACCGAAGACGGCCCTGAGCAGGGGCTGCGCAGCTCTGAGAAGCACTTCCGGTGCAGGTCACTTCCGGGTGGGTGGTCGGAGCCGACGGGCGCGCGCGCGGGGGAGGGGCGGCCTCAGCGCGGCGCTCGGGGATCAGCTGGCGGGCGGGCGCCGAAGCCGCCCCGGCTCTGCGGCAGCGCCGCCTCCTTCGCGTCGCAGGCCGGCGGCTGTGGCCATGTCGCGGGGCTGGTAGCTGGGCTAGCCGCCGAGCGGCCGCTAGTGGGTGTCCGGGGCCCGGGGTGGGGGTCCGGGCAGGGGGCCGGTGCGTTTCCAGGGCTTTCCTGAAGAAAATGCACGCAGTGTTTCCTCTGGATGACGGCCTTTGCTTCCCCTAGGACCTGGCAGTTAGGCTCTGGAGTGTGTTACTGATTCATCCTCTCTCTGCCTCTGTCATCGCAGGTTTAAACTTAAACGATCGCTCCCCGAGGAGGAGGGGACCCGCCGCGCGATTGACAGTATATTCCTGCAGGCGCCGTCCCTCGGCCCCCACCCCACGGCCGGATTCCCGTGGCTCTGCTCAGGGCTGAAACCGGAGAAGAAATCCTTAGATCTCTTTTCTTTACAACAAATACGAACCTAGAAACCATCGGCGTTTTGCCTTGGCGTTTCATATTGGAAAGATGAAGAAGTTTTTCGACTCCAGGCGGGAGCAGGGGAGCTCTGGCCTGGGTTCAGGCTCCAGCGGAGGAGGGGGCAGCAGCTCAGGCCTGGGCAGTGGCTACATCGGAAGGGTCTTCGGCATCGGGAGGCAGCAGGTCACCGTGGACGAGGTGTTGGCGGAAGGTATGTTAGGAAGCCAGTGCGCGGTGAATTAAATTCGTGTGCTGATGTGGCAAGACTCTGGTTTCTAGTTGTATGAATGGGTTTTGACCAACTGACCCTCCCTCCCCCCTCTGCACTTTCCTTGCGAGTCATTGTCCTTGAGAGAATTAAAACTCAGACTGGAAATTGACAGGGCTTGGGGAGCAATATTGCCCAAATAGTTTGCCTTAGTGGCCTTTTATTGGGGTGGGGGCGTGTGGAGAATCTTCTCTGAATGAATTATTCGGGTCCTATTTGAAAATGTATGTGTGAAGTATAAATGACATCAAATGCAGGGTGGTGGTCTTAGCATTTCCTTGAAACTTTAAATTCTGATGCGGAGGCTGAAGGGTGGGAATGGGGAGAAATCTTAAAGGGGAGAGGGGCTTCTCGAACCCAACTTTCCCATTTCTATAAGCAGGTATCCAAAGAGGATTTTTGTGGGGATAGGAATGTATTTTTTTGGTGTTTTGATTAGGTTTGTTTCTTTACCCAACTGTAATGAAGTCCCCAGGATGTAGATAAGATAAAATCATAAGAATCGAATTAGATTGTTTTGAACTCAGTCGCCTAGGCCTCTTTTCCCCTTTTAGTTTCTATTAAGAATGACTTAAGATTGGCTCTGGTTTAGTTTTCTCTCAGTTGGAGAGGATGTTGTGTGGTTTCTCTTGGTGTGTGCTTATTTGTCTATCTGTATTCATGCAGGTACATATTTTTATGCCCCAGGCTTTAGGGAAATCTTTTGAGTGTTCCTTTGGTAACCTTAACCTGGACCTTCATAATTATGCCAGACTGATACTTTTCACAGCTCATTGCCTGCTTAGTGTGCTTTTATTTTTAATAAAAGCAGCAATTTCCTTGGCATGAAGCAATTTGAACTAATTGGCTAGGACGAGCCTGCTGTAGGTTGCGTTACAGACTGCCAGGGGTTGGGTATTGGGGAGGCCTCGGTGAAGGCAACATGGTGGGAGGTATAGTTTATTAGCTAGGGAAGGAAGAGTGAGAGCCAAGAGGCCCCTTTGAAAAGGAGACTTCTGCAAGCTGAGGTTGAAGAAAGGATCTCTACCTGGGCCTAGGAAATGCCTGTCATGGTGAGTGTTGTTGGGTGGTGGACGGGTGGGTGAGAAGAGGCAGGAGCTGTGTTTGACTTAGTTTGTGTAAGTACTGGATTCGACAAGGCCAGGTATCTGAGGGTACATGGAAGCCTGTACTTAAAAAGCACAATTTTGAAGAGATATCTGATAATTTCTTTGTGAAATTACTGTTTTTTTCCCCCATTCTCAGTATTGTTCCAACTGGACTTAATCTAGGCCTGAGTCACAATCCTTTCTGAACCTTTCCTTTGACTCTGTTGCAGGGTGGGAGATGCTTCTATGTCTGCTGCCAGATCTGTACCTTGGAATTGAGCTGACTCTTATCCTGTAGCCAAAGTCCTTGACTGCAGTGGGTGGAGAGAGAGAGAGAGAGAAAGAGAGAGGGGGGGGGGAGAGGTGGGGAGGAATGGAGGGGGAGGGAAGGAGGATCAGGAGGATGGCCTTAGAGCCCAGGAACATTTTTTTCAACTAGGATGTTGTGTCGTCACGTGTTGCCCTAAGCTTTGCTTATTCTCTGAATCTTGGAAGAGTGGTGGGAAAGAGAAAACATAAAATCAGCCTTTGTTTTCTAGGCTTCCGTGGGATTCATCCTGAGAGCTGCACATTGTGCGTTCTGATATTTTAAAAAGTAGAACTTAGGGCTTAAAACTGTTCATTCATTCATTTATTCATTTAGCCAGCAGTCACACAGTGCTTATGGTGTGGCAAGTTCTGTGCTAGGCTCTGGGGACATGAAGTTTAACTAGATGTTAGAATTTCAGAGCAGTTTGAAGAGGTAGAAAATGGACAGTGAGTGATAGGCTCATTAGTGTCACCATGAGAGTAAACTAGGGTTCAGTAGCTTCAAATCTTGTCCTTAGGATCCCTCAGTGTTAGGGATCCAAGACGTGTTTTATGGAATGAGCCAGTGTGGTGTCAGTATGGGCTCAGGCTGTATGAAGTGTCGCATTTAAAATTTGGTCTGGCAAATTTTCTGGCTATGATTGAGCTTCACTTGTGGCCTTTGAAGTGTGTGGATATGGAGGAGTCAGTATTTATGTGGCACTACTGAGTTGAAAGACACTACTAGGTTTTGAAAGGGGTAAGAGATATAAACTCTAAAGTATGATGCCTGCCTTTTTAATTAGCCAGTGAACTTCACTGAGGTGCTGTGGACCATGCTTGTCTTGTGCATAGTAGTCAGGTGGCTCTACCCCGAGCTACATCCTAGTCCTGATGGCTACCTTTAGAAAACTGCCAGTCAATCTAGGAAGAAAAGAAATACATTTGTACATGTAGTAGTGTGCTTATGGCCACAGATCCTGTAGTTTTTTGTTTTTAAACATTTTACATCGTGTGTGTGTGTGTGTGTGTGTGTGTGTGTGTGTTTTCTCTGAGCCAGCTCACCATTTCCTGGATCTGTTTTAAGAAGTATTTATTGTTATTATTACTACTGTTACTATATTGTGCATGCGTGTTGTGCACACGTTTGTATGTACATGTGCCACACTGTGTGTGGAGGTTAGAGGGCAGCATTGTGATGTTAGCTCTCTCCTTCTACCTTTACATGGGGATAGAATCAGATTGTCAGACTTTTGTGACAAGTGTCTTTTCTTGGGGAACCATTTTGCTGGCTCTCTGAATCTTTTGTTTATTTCTTTTTCCTTTTCTTTCTTTTTCTCTTTCTTTTCTTTAACAGTTAACACAACTTAGGTCAAGATATTCCGCAGGAGAGCTTGTTAGAAATGAAGATCTCGGCCGGGCAGTGGTGGTGCACGCCTTTAATCCAAGCACTTGGGAGACAGAGGCAGGTAGATTTCTGAGTTCGAGGCCAGCCTGGTCTATAGAGTGAGTTCCAGGACAGCCAGGGCTACACAGAGAAACCTTGTCTACAAACAAACAAACAAACAAACAAACAGAAATGAAGATCTCTCTGACACATTACTCTATAGGTTGTAGGTATGGAAGTTTAGCAAGTTCTGGGGAAAATCTGATGTAAGCTAAAGTCCAAGTTCCACTGCCCTGTGGGATGGTGTTGAGGACTTAGTATAACAGTGTATATGAGGAATTTATCACTTTCAACGTGATTAATTCAATAAATGGTAGCTGATATTTACCCAGTGTATGTAGAGTTAAAGGTGAGTGGGGAGCAGGTGAAGGCTGGTTTGACTGGGACAGTCTAAAGTAGTCTCCTCGTTCCTCTTTGGGATGAGTCCGATGCTCTTTGAGGTATTGTTTGGGGAGCAGTACCTCTTCCCTAGTTTCTCTTTTCTGAGTCCTCAGATTCTGACCTGTCCACCAGTTCCAGCCAGAGTTGCTGTGGTAGAGTTATATACCAAGTGCCCCAGGCAGTGACCAGGCCATAGGGTGGTGACAGTGGGAGTTTTCAAACGCAGACCTGATTATCACCACATCCTATTCACAATTTCCTTTTCTCCAGTGGGTATTGGTTTGTGCTTCATAGTAGGAGACTGCCAGAACTCCAGGAATCAGGTGCTGGAGAAGAGGGGACTGCTGGGCTGCCATCTCCAGCGACAGTGGCAGTGGCAGCCTTGCTAGACTGGCTCTCTACTAGTCCTGGAGGAGTGGTTGTCTGGAGGAAGATCAGCCTCAGTCATGAATTAGAGGGATATGAGCATCTCTAGGCTGAGTGCTTTCTTATTGAAGATACCTGTAGGAGATGATAAACCGTGTCTAAGTTAATAGGCATGTGCTATCAAGGGAAGATTTGGCTTAAGCTTCTAGAATGAGCTCATTGGGGAAATTAGAGCATTGCTTAGACACAGTAATTTTGTCATACTCCTTGGCTTTTTAAAGCCTTATATCTAAACTTTTTGTTTTGTTTTTGTTTTTGTTTTTTCGAGACAGGGTTTCTCTGTGTATCCCTGGCTGTCTTTGAACTCAGTCTGTAGACCAGGCGGGCCTCGAACTCAGAAATCTGCCTGCCTCTGCCTCCCAAGTACTGGGATTAAAGGCGTGCGCCACCACTGCCCGGCCATATCTAAACTTTAAACAGTAAGTAAATATTGGATACTTGCTGTGCCCAAGGTGGCATTCCGGAGCTGTATCAGTTCTGCAGAAGGTGGACTAGCAGGCTCCACAGAACTTACTCACCTGCACAAAAAGAATCCAGTTCTGGGGCTGATGAGAACCAAGACTGTCAGAAGCTTCCCTCATCCCCCATCTGCAGAGCAAGGTAGAAATGCTTCAAAATGTGTGCAACCTCTCCTCACCGGCTCACATATCACACAGTTGAAATGTCTTGGTAGTACATCTGTGCATTCATCTGGGGAACCATTTATTTGTGCTTTTCCATTAGGTTCCAGAAAAAATCTGGATGCGTCATGAGACCAATAAGTTACAAGTAACCCTGGAATAAGTGTCCCGTGGTTCAAAGGTGATAGGGAGAAAGGGGCGGTTTGAATAGGTGGCAGTTACTCAGTAAGTGTTCCAGTCCTGTTACCAGAGGCGTCCCAGGCAGAGGGGGATGGCATGTGCAAAAATATGGAATGGTGAAATGGAAGATGAGGTCAGGAATACTGACTGGTTGATGTCACTGTTTTGGTACAAGTTTCCTTCCAGCCTCAAGGAAAGGAAGCCCAGGGTGTGTTTATTTGGAGGTGGGATAAAGTGAGATTCTTGTATATCTGCTCCCTAGGATATATTTGGATATGTTTGCTGCTCACTTCCTTCAGTGGCTCTATGCTTTTTGAAGAACTATCAGGAGGCTACAAGTATGTACTTGCCCCCTTACTGTGCCCAAGCCATGTGCTAAGGCACAGTAAAATGTGTAAAAGGAGTGTCTCAGAGTGTCCTAAGAGTCAAGAAGTCAAGCAGAAGCATGCAGGAGGGGGGTTGTGGGCTCAAGGTTACCAATGTCAAGAGAAGAATGCACAGGGCAGGGAGCAT